GTGTAGACATGCCTTTCATGTTTAACTTACATTAAATATTCAATATTAAAATCTCGCGTTAAGGTCCATTTAAGTTAATAAAAAAAATTTCGTTATCTATCTACATTCCTTCAGCTTATCAGACGATGCTTGGTTCATTAAAATTAAATATCAACATATCAAACTTTTACTAAAGAGAAGTAAAGAAGAGAATTCGTCATTTTTCCGAAAGACAACCGACGCGACGTGACAAAAAAAGACCCACTCAGCAAAGTCTGTCGTTTTTTCCATGATTGTGATCTTGATATCATCGACTACGAGAATGAGCAACAATGATGCTGAAAAACTTCGAAACTTCGGAAGATTCGTAATATCTAAAAATAAACTTCTTTTTCGTGGAAATAATCTTAAACTCCATAAATAGACAATAAATTCTTAAATATTTTTCGCCTGGTTGCTTTACGGTGAGATCTTTTTGAGATTCGATTACGGAAATAAACAATGCGATCCAATTGGAAAAGCTCGTTAACGTTTGTTCTCTCGTCCCAACGTAATTCTTAATCGCGTCAAGGTGATTCGGTGTCAAAACGCAAGAACGGATCAACTGGATAAAGAGTAACGGATCCAGGATCGAAATTGTCGGTTCGAGGAAAAAAAAAATCGGCTTCGGTTCGAGAGGGAAAAAGAGAGACAGAATAGCTGGACGCGGTGACGCGCACGGTACGCGTAGTTTTTCGACGGCCCGTAGGGGCCGTAGGTACACGCGTCACCTCGACCGCCTCGACCGACGATGACGAAGATGTTCCGAGGCGACGCACCGAAAATCCACGGAGATGGTCGCGCATGGCGATCGACGGACTCTCGCCGCGGTTACTTTCTCCCTGCGGGGAAAAGGCGAGCCGGGCGCGCGGATAATCGCGCGAGCGAGACGGTGCGATCGCTCGTTCGCTCGCTCCCTCGTTCACGGACGCAGGTTAACTCAGGTTGGAGGTTAACCTCACGCCGCGCCGGAGAAGCGGAGCGGGTACACGAGGTTGCGGACAGGTCGGACAGCGCGCGGCATGAAGACGAGAGGGAAGGGGGGGCGGGGGGGAGAGAGAAGCGCGACGGAGCCTTTTATTTTATTCGTGTCGCGAAAGAGAACGAGAAGAGAGAGAAAGAGAGAGACAAGAGGACTTACCCCATAAACCAGTCCACGGTATCGCGGAGATACTCGGGTAACCTATCCAGCTTGGATGATTTTCGTGTGGATCACCGTCGTGAGGAAAGCAGCGCGCGCGATAGACGGGAAAACAAAGTGTAAATCTCCTCCTTCCCTTTCTCTCACTCTTTCTCCACAGTATCAGCACCACGGTAGTAGTCAGGCGGTAGTAGGCAGCTAGCGGCAGCAACGGCAGCAGCAGCATCGGAAAACGGCAGCAGCAGCGGCGGCGGCGGCGCGCGTTTCGCGATCTCGTGAAATCTAACATGGCGCGGTTCTATTGTCACCTGTTCCCGTCATGCCCCGTTGGCCACCGAGGTACATACCGCGGCCGATTCGTCCGCGACTGCCCGCCGTCCGTCAACGTCGTGATCGCTCGCGCTCGTCGACAACGCGGCCTCGAGTGCCTCGCTCGCTTCGCTGCTCGCTAGATGAATGTCACGCGACGCCAAGACCGCGAAGACGCACGAGAATCACTCCCGCGACCACAACGGCACAGCACAGTCACCCCTCCGCGACGCGCCGAGATAATCGAATCCTCGCGATGCACACAGCTGATCGTCCGACGTGAACGCGCGCGCCTCCGCTCGGCCAATGCCGTACTTTATCGGTCGACCATAGGTGGCAGCACTTGCCAAGCGCGGCCGATACTCGCGATTTCTCGCTTCCCGCTAATGAGGACTCAAAATTGGAGCCATATATTTCAAGAGACCCTGGTCCCCTATTCTTGAAAAATACCGCATATGAAAAACTAGGAAAATACTATAATATATGTGACGCATACTATAGTATTTCCCGATACTTTTTAAGAATAGAGGCTCTGTTCTTTTTAGCTAAACTTCTTTCCTTTTCTTCTTTTCGCATTGGAGAAAAAAAAGGAAAGCTAAACTGTGCGTGCAAGAAGTACAGCTAAAAGGAATATTTATGTTATGTTCACACGATTTTTTTTCATATATAAATAACATATATAAGTAATGCAGAATTTGTAAATTATTATAAATATATATAGGCTTCCATAGTTTACGTTGTGTGTGTTACACATAGCGTAGATTATTATATTTTACACGTAACGCACAATCTTGCATTTTCGTATCTTTCGAAAATACTGCTCCGGGACTGTAGACATAGCACGTTACCAGTTGATTATGTTCATGGAAATGGCTATGTAGTTCACGTTTTATGCACATAGAGGCGCTAAAGTCATTTTGGCTCCCTGACGCGGTTATTTCAAACTTATGTATGAATATAATCAGGGTATCTATTATGGAACAAAGTCGGAATGGATTCCGATCGAAATTATTCAATTATTCCCTAGATTTCTATTGTTTTCTAGGGAAAACGGAATAATTCCGATCGAAATCCATTCCGACTTGAAGAATGCGTCATTGAAGCTAAAGTCACTAGATTGAAGCAACCAATCAGCGCTATTCCGAATAGCGCTGATTGGTTGC